CTATTCTATTCTATTCTATTCTATTCTATTCTATTCTATTCTATTCTGAATTCCCCAAAATTTGGTTAACTGATTTGATAAAATAATATCACTAATAAAATACCCTAATAATAATTCCACACTGTAAAATTTTAATATACTTAAAATGCAGGCATGTTTTAAATTATAGCCTATTGATAAATGAGTCATTTTATTGAATTTTTAAAATCAATACTAAGTATCTACAGGGGCATTTTATTAATGAAAGTCCTCAGAATTGTTTGAATGCTTAATTTTTTTTCCTGGCATGCTGTAAATCCTAGAATCCCAGCAGGAATAAACATATTTTTACATATAATAAGTCATTTTACTAATAAAGTCCAAATAAAGTGTTAAGATTTCTTCTGCTAAGATAAGCAAATCTTGTATTCACGTAATATATCTTCTTTTCACTATGCAGTGACACCTACTGATTTTTAATATATTGCAGTTTTGACCTTCCACTAAACTGTTTTCAGGCTTGAAGAGCCGTGGAGTTCGTTAATAATTACATGTATGTGGCTTTGAATGAAAACGATCATTTTAAAACTTCTGCTTTTGACTTGCGACACAATCTGGAGAGTCAAACATTAAAATGAGTCGGATCTCAGGGGAATTGAACCCAGCACCCATCCTTATAGGATAGTAAAGGTTCTCCTCGCACACCCGTGCTAGTTGTTTTTGGCTCTAGGGGGCACTGCTCATCTCTGTTACAAAGCCGAAGATCATGCGGCCAGCTGGACTAAATGCTGAAGGTGCACAGAACGCTGTTCCCTTCCCACCAAAGTGGTCCCTATTTTTCTACTTGCATTTTTTTTTGACATGCTTTTGAACTGCTAGGTTGGCAGAAGCTGGGACAAGGAACGGGAGGTCACTCCGTTACGCGGCGCTGGGGATTCGAACTGCCAAACTGCTGACCTTTCTGATCGACAAGCTCAGCGTCTTAGCCACTGAGCCACTGCATCCCTTTTAAGATGGGACCATCCACCAAAGAAACTCATGTCAGCCAAGAAAAGAGTGCTGTAAACAGGCACAAAGTGCCTTCCGAAAAAGGAGAATATTTGTAGCTCGGGGTTGAATTGAGGGGTCCTTGGTGCTCTCTGGGTTTGGTGGTTTCCTTGCAGAGGTTCCATTATTCAAATTAGATAACATCAAAGAGTATTTCCTCACCACTGTGTAATTGTTTTTATTTTATTTATTTATTTGTTTGTTTATTTATTTATTTATTTATTTGTTTGTTTGTTTGTTTGTTTGTTTGTTTTATTTATTTATTTATTTATTTATTTATTTATTTTGTCAAATAAATATAAACAGGGTTATAAATACATGAAATGGATACAAAAAGAAAAAAAGAAACAATAGGACAGGGACAGTAGGCACGTTGGTGCACTTATGCACGCTCCCTACAGACCTCTTAGGAAAGGGGTGAGGTCAATAGTAGACAGTCTAATGTTGAAGATTTGGGGGTTAGGGGAAGAAACCACAGAGTCAGGTAGAGTATTCCAGATATTGACCACTCTGTTGCTGAAGTCGTATTTCCTGCAATCAAGTTTGGTGCGATTAACCTTGAGTTTGTATCTATTGTTTGCTCTAGTGTTGTTATGGTTGAAGCTGAAGTATTCATTGACAGGTAGGACATTACAATGTATAATTTTATGTACTATACTTAGATCGGACCGAAGGCGGCGTAGTTCTAGGTTTTCTAGGTCTAGAATTTCAAGTCTGGTGGCATAAGGTATTCTGCCACGAGTAGAGGAGTGGAGAACTCTTCTTGTGAAATATTTCTGGACTTTCTCAACTGTGTTAATATCAGATACGTAATGTGGGTTCTAGACTGATGAGCTGTATTCGAGTATTGGTCTAGCAAATGTTTTGTATGCTCTTGTTAGTAGTGTAATATTTCCAGAGAAAAAGCTCCTTCCTTCCTTCCTTCCTTCCTTCCCACTTCCCTTCCTTTTCTCCTTCCCGGGAGGTGTGGCCTGGCCGCTTATGTAAGATCCCCCCCCCACTTTGGCTCGGCTCGGGAGGTCTCGGGGGCTCCGGCGGAGGCGCTGCCGGAGCGGCGAGGGCGGGCCGGGGGAAGGCTCGGAGAGGCCGGCGCGCGTGTAATCGGAGCCCGCCCTACACCCGCTCGCTCCCTCGCTCGCTCTCTCGCAGCCAAGTCGCCACTCCGCCTTGCCTGCTCGGGGAGGCTCGTTCCTCCCGGCCGAAGGAGAGCTCCAGGCGGCACCTGAAAAGCCGATTTGACCCGTGGGGGCGGAAAAGCGCGAGGGGTTCCCAGCGAGGGGATTTTGCATTTCTTGGACCTCCGAGTTCTTTGCTGCTTCTCCCCGGGAAGGAGGCGATTTCTTCGGCGCTGAGCCCGTCCGCGGCGCGGTGAGTCCCATCCCGGTTCTTCTCCGTGAATCGGACCCTCGGGTGGGTGTGGGGGGGGGGGGGGGGTGAAATCACATTTGAACCCCGCATTCTCGAGGAGTAGAGATGCTCCCCGGACCAGAATGGGATTCCTTCGCTGAAATCTACGCTTCGCTTTTATTATTTTTTCTCCTCCTCTTTAAAGAATTATTGCTCTTTACACCTGCCGAGGGCTTCTCCTTTCAGCAGGTTGTGTGTGTGTGTGTGTGTGTGTAAACATATATACACACACATACACACTATCATCTATCTATCTATCTATCTATCTATCTATCTATCTATCTATCTATCTATCTATCTATCTATCTATCTATCTATCTATCTATCATCTATCTATCTATCTATCTATTAATCTATCTATCTATCTATCTATCTATCTATCTATCTATCTATCTATCTATCTATTAATCTAATCTAATCTAATCTAATCTACTCTCTCTCTCTCTCTCTCTCTCTCTCTCCTTCCTTCCACCCTTTTCCGAAATGCGCCTCTTCGCTTATCTAAATAATAGGCTCTTTGTAGGCGACCTTTTGAGAGCTGCGCGCAACGCAGGTTCGTGTCAATGCATGCCGGTTAGTGTGCTTTGCAAAGTGGCTACCAAGTTATTTCTATTCTAAGGCGCGTCTCCCGCTCTTCCAAGCCGGTGGAGACCGAGTCGCGCGTTCAGACAACCGGGGGAAATTGTTCACTTTTTTCTGCCCAGGTTTCGAGAGGGAAGGGTCAGGTCTGGCTTAGAAAGGCGACGAAGCTTGGGGAATCGAAGGGGGCGGGTTTTTTTACTGGGTGTCCAAGGAGAATTTTTTAAAAAAGTTATAAAACTCCACTTCGCTTTATTTTCCCGGATCCAGGTGGTGTTTAGAGGGGGGAAGTGTTGAAAAATAATAACACAGGCTAGCGCGTGGGGTTTGATCGGGGTGCGTGCCACAAATCTCAGTTTTGAAATGTTTCCTTCCTCCTTCCCTTCCTCACTTTTGAAGGGTTTCTTTCCTACCTTCCTTCTTTCCTTCCTTCCTTCCTTTCCTGCCTTCCTCCCCTTCCCTCCTTTCCTTCCTTCCTTCCTTCCTTCCATCATTCCCTCCTTTTTCTTTCTTTCTTTCTTTCTTTCTTCCTTCCTTTCCTTCTTTCCTTCCTTCCTTCCTCCTTCCTCTTCCTTCCTTTCCTTCCTTCTTTCTTTCTTTTCTTCTTTCTTTCCTTTCTTCCTTCCTCCTTCCTTCTTTCCCTCCCCTCCTTCCTTCTTTCCTTTCCTTCCTTCCTTCCTTCTTTTCCTTTTTCCTTCCTTTCTTTCCCCTTCCTTCCTTTCCTTTCCTTCTTTCCTTCCTTCTTCCTTCCTTTCTTCCCTTCCCTCCTTCCTTCCTTTCCTTTCCTTTCCCTCCTTCCTTCCTTTCCTTTCCTTCCTTCTTCCTTCTTCTTCCTTCCTTCCTTCCTTCCTTCCTTCCTTCCTTCCTTCCTTCCTTCCTTCCTTCCTTCCTTCCTTCCTTCCTTCCTTCCTTCCTTGTTAAAATTGCCTTAGATTGCTTCTTTGAAAAGGGCAACTGTCTTGAATTTACATTAGTCGGGTAACTCTGTCCTCCGTTTCCCCAAAGTCAAATCTTTTGGATTTTAGCTAGCACAGAACAGAATCACAAAGTTGGAAGGGGACCTTGGAGGTCTTCTAGTCCAACCCCCCTGCTCAAGCAGGAGACCCTATCCAGTTTCAGATAAATGTTCTGTGGAAGCAGAACTTCAACAGGAACCTGATCAAGCTCACATAAAAAAACCCCAAAACTTTCATGGACTTTGTTGAACTCTGGAAGACCGTTTTATCATGTTCCCTTGAGACCTCTGCCAATGTTTAAAATCCACACTTTATCTAATTCAATAACAGAAGAAGAGGGCTGGAAGGCACCTTGGAAGTCATCTAGTCCAACCCCTTGCTCAGGCAGGAAACTATCCCATTTCAGACAAATTGCTGTCCAATAACTTCTTAAAAGCCTCCAGTGATGGAACACCATTTAGTATAACACTCTATACTCAAAAGCCATTCTATTTTGCATCACGTCTGTATACACTTTCATATATTAGAAGAAGAGAGGTGGAAGGGACCTTGGAGGTCTTCTAGTCCAACCCCTGCTCAGGCAGGAAACCCTATAGCATTTCAGACAAATGGCTGTCTAATACCTCCTTAAAAACCTTTAGTGATGGAGCACTCTTGTCCTCGTTGTCCTCCTTGTTAGGAAATTCCTCCTCAGTTCCAGGTTGCTTCTCTCCTTGATTAGTTTCCACCCATTGCCCTCTGGTGCTTTGTAGAATAGCTTGACTCCCTCTTCTTTGGGGCAACCCCTGAGATATTGGAGTACTGCTATCATTTCTCCCCTAGTCCTTCTTTTCCTCAAACTAGACAAACTAGACATGCAACCGTTCTTTATATATGTTTTAGCCTCCAGTCCCCTAATCATCTTGGTTGCTCTTCTCTGCACTCTTTCTAGAGTCTCAACATCTCTTTTACATCGTGATAACCAAAACTGAATGCAGTATTCTAAGTGTGGCCTTATCAAGGCATCATAAAGTAGTATTAACACTTCGCGTGATCTTGATTCTATCCCTCTGTTTGTAGAATACGAAGAAACTGTTGCAGGATTTGGGATGGGCTAGTCTACAGAAAAGAAGGACTGGCGGGGGGGTACATGATAGCATTGTCCCAATATCTCAGGGGCTGACCCAAAGAAGAGGGAGTCAAGCTATTCTCCAAAGCACCAGAAGGCAGGACAAGAAGCAACGGATGGAAACTAATCAAGGACAGAAGCAACCTAGAACTGGTGCTTTGGAGAATACATTATTACACCTGTATATAAATTTATTTTTTAAAAAAATATGGGAACATTTTAAAAAAATGTTCCCCTATTTATTAAAAATACCTTTTTTAATGCAGGTGTAAGAGGGTTTGGGGAGAGGGGAAGAAATAACCTATTCACCTGTTATGTGGTTTAAAACAATGAGATCAAACCGGTTTGATAAATCAGGTTTGATGCTGTTATCTTATTCTACTGCACCAAAGGGAGTTGGAAATTAATGCCTTTTCTTTCTTTCCCCCCTTTTTTTCCTACACTTCTTTCTTCCCTTCTTCCCTCCCTTAATTTTCCTACTATTTTCCTTTGTGTTTTATATTATATAAACTAATAGACATGTTCACCAATCTGTACGTTCTACAGACTTGAATCATTTGAAGGCCACATGATTCATTCATTTATTTTATTTTATTTGGTTTGTCAATTGCTTACAAGATAATAGGTATAAGTAAAAACATCATTATGAATACATGGATACATATAAGAAAATAAAAGAAACAATAGGACAGGGATGGTAGGCACGATGGTGCGCTTATGTACACCCCCTACAGGCCTCTTAGGAAAGGGGTGAAGTCAATAGTAGAAAGTCTAAGGTTAAAGTTTTTGTGGTTTGGGGAAGAAACCACAGAGTCAGGTAGAGTATTCCAGACATTGACCAATCTGTTGCTGAAGTCGTATTTCCTGCAATCAAGTTTGGTGCAGTTTACCTTAAGTCTGTATCTATTGTGTGCTTTTAAGCCCAACACTTAATGATCCAGAAGCATTGAAAGACATTCATGTGATAAAGAAACTAGAGAAAATTTGGAAAATTGATTTATCCTTCATGTGGGATCTCAAAGACACTTTTAAAAAAAATGTAGGAAATAGGGAAGGAGTTCCAGATTTTAGCAGCAAAGGTGAGAAATGGTACCAAGAAGAGACTGGGGGAGGACGCTTTCCTAAACAGGGACTGTTGCATACAGCAAAAAACAGATAATCAGAGTTGGAAGGGACCTTGTGGGTTATCTAGTCCACCTCCCCCCCTCAAGTGGGAGACCCTACACCATTTCTGACAGATGGGAGTCAATCTCTTCTGGTGAGATGTTTCAATGAAATGAAATTTGATTGGCAGGGGTGAGGCAACCCAACAGGGTGGATCTAAAAGTTGGAGGAAATAATAAGAAAAACCTAAACAATCTTTGTATTCATGTTAAGTTGAGGAAATAGAAGAATAAGCTGTGATTCTCAAACTCCATTGCAAAATTTCAGCGAATTCTCTTCCTGTCGTATTGAAAGTCTGCATTCTCTAGGATTGGAATACAAGTAGTCCTTGACTTACAAGAGTTTGCTTAGTGACCATTCAAAGTTACGATAGCACTGGAAAAAAATGGATTTACGACCGTTGTTTTTTTTTACACAGTTACGACTTTTCATCCTTATTGATCACGTTTGACCCAAATTCAGGCGCTGGGCAACTGACTCATATTTATGACGGTTGCAGTGTTTTGGAGGTCACGTGATCCCCTTTTGCAACCAGCTGATGAGCATAGTCAATTGGGCAGAATCCAGATTCACTTAACGATCGGCGTTATTAACTTCACAACTTCAGGGATTCACTTAGGTACTGGATCCAAAAAAAAAAAGGTCAGAAGATGAGGCACTGAATGATCGTCTCACGTGGTAAGGGAAAAAATTGGTCTCCATTTTGGTCATAAGTTGAGGACTACCTGTAGATATCCAAAGTGCGATGGGTTATTGCCATTTAAACAGATAACAAAAAGGGACCTTGTAGGTCATCTAGTCCAACCCCCTGCCCAAGCGGGAGACCCTACACCATTTCTGACAGATGACAGTCCAGTCTTTTCTTGAAAGTCTAAAATGATGAAGCTCCCACAACTTCTGAGGGCAACTTCTGTTCCATTGGTTGATTGTTCTCACTGTCAGAAAGTTTCTTCTTATTTCTAGGACTTGAATCTCTCCTTGTTCAGTTTCCATCCATTATTCCTTGTCTGACCTTTGGGTGCTTTAGAAAATAGCTTGATTCCTTCCTCTCTGTGGCAGCCCCTCAGATATTGGAAGACCGCTATCCTGTCTCCCCTGGTCCTTCTCTTCCCTAGACTAGCCAAGCCCAGTTCCTGTAACTTTTTCTTCATATG